TAATCTGTTTACACACTTGTTTGAGTGAAGATTAAGTGCAATGATCATGTTGTTTTAGTTACAGTCAGTAAAATTGGAGCTGTGGACTCTTAACTTTGAACAGACAATAATGTGGGGTTTTGTTTTGTCCCCACCTTCAGTTTTTTCCACCATAAAGCAGCACCAGGCTGACTGGTAGTAAAACAATAAACGAAGTGATTTTGAATTGTTATTTTATACTTTAAAAGTACATTTTGTTTTTATTATGTTTTATTTTTCAGGGTCTTCTAATTTATTTTATTAAATTGTAGAATGTTCTTCAGTTTAAAATATATGTGATCCATTGGTTAAAAATAAATGGGTCAGTTTTTCTCATACACAATCTTTTTCACTGTTTGACCTGATCAAGACTTTTCTAAGATTTTACATTACAAAATAGGTAAAAGTGTGTGACTTGTACTGTTATGGTAACAGGTCAATATCGGTATCGGACAATTCTCAAAGTTGTAATATCGGTATCGTATCGGAAGTGAAAAAGTGGTATCGGGACATCCCTACTAGGACTCTTCTCTGGCTCACATCCTCCCAAACAGCCATCTGGTTAGTTCAGGCAGAAGTGACAAGTTCAGAAAGTGCAAGTGAAACAAGACAAAAGTATAATCTCTATATAACAAGACATGGTGCTATGACAATCACACAGCCCATTAAAGGATTAGATGTTCGCAAAACATTTTACAAAGATTGTATGTTTTCACATGCCATCTTTGTAGTTTATTTATCCCATTGACCCTTTGTACTGTATTTTTGAAAGTGTCTAACTTTACAGTTTTGAGTTATGAAGATTGATTTCTTATACTGATTTATTTTATTATTATTTTTTTTTATTTACCGTTATTTTACCAGGCAAGTCCCATTGAGATCGCAGATCTCTTTTTCAAGGGAGGCCTGCCTGGGCCTGCATGAAGGCAACCTATTGTACATGTTTTGGGGGGGTGGGGGAAACCGGAGTACCCAGAGAAAACCCACGCAAGCACAAAGAGAACATGCAAACTCCGCACAGAAAGACCCCAGGTCCGAACCCAGGACCTTCTTGCTGTGGGGCATCGGTGCTAACCACTGAGCCGTCGTGCTGCCTACTCAACAAAAATATACACATTTTTGGTGCAATATCAATTCAATTCAGTTTATTTTTATATCTAAAAGGTGCAACGATACAGAAATTCAATACTTCAGTTTCATGGTTTGATATTTGTTCAAGTACAGTTTTTTTAATTAAATGTTGCTGAAACAGCAAGTTTTCTCAGTAGATCTGTGCTCGACAATGCAGCCTAGGTGGAGTAGTCTAACACAGACCCACTGATCCTTCAACACAGAACATCTTCAGAAGACAAGTTGATAAAATAAATGTTAAAAATCGGTGTTGTTTGATACAAGTGCATTTTGATCCTAGAGCACTGTATTGAACGGTTCAATAGCACCACTACTACAAATATATCTAGATTTTGATTATGTGATTATGTTTGGTTTATGATTTGGATGTAGGCTGTTAATCTGAGTTTGGCTTGATACTTTCACATTTCTGGCTACGTTCACACTGCAGGCAAATCCGACCCAAATCTGATTTTTTTGACCCATCTGACTCATATCCGATTTTTTTATGACAGTCTGAACGAGACAAATCCGATTTTTTCAAATCCGACCCAGGCCGTTTCAGTATGTGGTTTTAAATCGGATACAGATCTGATGTTTTCAAAGTGACTGCAGTGTGAACGCTCATGTCACATTCATCTGACTTTTTCATCAGGAGGAGGGGGGTGAAGGACCGATAACACACTAACCTCAAGTCTCGCTGTTTAAATCTGTAGCTCCATGTGTTTACAGCTCCAAAACACAAGTCCAGTTGCTTCATCTTTTTACTTTTCATTTTCCACGTAGATAGTATGATAATAACGGTCCAGCCTGGGTCGCGGAGAGTATCGATCCTAAAGTTAGCTACTCGGTCGATACTTTTTTCCAGCTCGTAGTTTCGTAAAAAAAAAAAAGCTTCTCTGGAGCATCCCGGTCAGAGGCAGCTTCAGATATAAACACTGAACTAAAGAAGAAGGTCAGATAATTATTTAATCGGCTCTGATTAAACAACAACTTCAGATTYGATGTGTAAAATGTAGCATCCATGCTAGCTCTGTAAACAAACAAGCCGGCTGATAAGACGTCACGTCTTTTACTGCGCATTCGTGTCACATCAGTGCTGTGTTGCGTTCACACAGGGGTCTGATGCAGGTCACATTTAAAATGTAATGTGAACGTTCACACAAAAAGATCGGATTTTTTCAAAAAATCGGAACTGAGCATTAAGACCTGCAGTGTGAACGTAGCCATCATCAGCAGAATTCTGTCCGGATTTTCCCATGGTCCAAATGTGCATCACCTGCAGATGTGCATCAGTCGAAACTCCCAAACACAGAAGGAAGAAGCAACATCATCTTTGGACATTGGACCAGAACTGATGGTCCGACGTAGCTCTGCGGTTCACAGAGGGCTGTTGTAATAGTGTTGCAACCAAAAAGGGCTTCGGGCAAAATTTTGACAGTAGCTGTTTTGACACATGCACCGCCAAGCTGAAATCTTCTAGATGACATCTGCTGGAAGATTGAACAGCTCCCTGGTCTAAAATCTAAAAAAGCCTGGAGAATTAGCTGCAACTGAGCGTGCATGCTGATGCCTTGTAATGCTTCGTTCTCTTCTCGGCTTGCTTTTGACACTTTTGCTAATAACAGGGATACATCTAGCATTAAATACAAAAAATAAAAATAAAACAAAACAGACATCATGCCTCTTCAGCATGCTTTATATTAGATATAGTGCAGATTTTCAACATACTGAAGCTTCTGAGGCACTGAGGTACAATCTCCTGCTGTTTTTTTTTTTTTTTTTACAACTATGAACAGTCACAGACAAGGACCTGGCCTGGTTATCCAGGCCAATAATATGTTGGGCACAGCGGGACTGCTCTACTAACCTGCAGTCACCTGAAACACCAAGGAACTCAACCAAAAATTAAACTTCAGTAGTTACACTATGTAAAAGCAACTAAAACAATCTAACACTGGACAAATGGACTAGAAATGCACAAATACGAAAATTTCAGCTGATATCTATATCCGATGTTATTGGCTTGGCCGATAACCAATATTTACCAACATTACACAAACACACAAATTATTTCTTTATACATACACAAATACGCTTGTCTTTTTTTGATACTGTAAAAAATGACCAGACTAACATGGCTCTCTACTTCAGTTATTCCTGGCTGTGCAGCAACACTATCACTATCATGATCAAACAGATACCACCCGACCAACCATTTCCCCTCCCAAAACAAAAACACAAAGCTAAAAAGGTGGGAAATCAATATCAAATGCTAATATAGGCCCAGTTTTATTTACTGATGACCAGTATCAGCCGATACCCATGTTAATGTTGATACATCGTGCATCCCTAAAATGGATCTTATATGAAAACAATATATGTCCAAACTAATTAGATACGCAAATAAACACATGTTCTGGATTTAGTCAAAAGGAAGAAATAAGTTAATTGTGTTTGAAGAACTCTATAACTGATGATCAAATCAAGGAAAATGCAGAATAAAAACCAACAACAGAGAAAAGTACAGGCAAATTTATACATCAAAAAAAATCATGCAACTACCCATAACTGGACTAATATCCCAATGGAAAAAAAAACCCTTCTCAGGGCTTCATGAAATTAACATATTTAGTGGCACAAATTTACTAAAATTTGATATGATTGAGCCAGAAATAGAGCACAAGATAAGATAAGATAAATTAAGATAAGATAAGATAAGATTTAAATATCCCAAAGCATTTTCAGAAGTTGCTAGCTGCCAACACTAATGATCAATAGAGAAAAACAACATAAAAACATAAAGAATGCAAAATAACAACAATACAGTGATAAGTATGTGGTCCGATCAATGTAAAGAGTTAGTGTTGTAAATGTGTGCACATTGCTTAGTACAAGAACAAAAAAAGAGTTGTTATTGAACTGAGTTTGTTCTCGATTAGTCTGCACTTGGAAATGTAATACAGTACATTTTCCAAGAAAAAGCTGAAGTTTTTGTGTTTCATGTCTCTTAAACCTCACACTCATAGAAACTCTGCAGAGTGTGTTGTTGTGTAAAGTGTTGGTGCTGCAGATTTTATGGGATTATTGGTTCGCTGCCTCAACCGCCAGAGAAAAGCCCAAATATGTAATACTATATAAGATCACGTGGATTTAAAGAGAGAAATTCAAACAAAGATCAAATTTAGAGTAAAGACTGTGAGAGTGTGTTAAAATGAGAGAAACAACAGAACTGAGGGATGGGGTTTGTGTTCTTGCTATTCTGCCACAACACAACTGTTCTTTATTTATAAGGCCCATATTTCCAATCTTTCTCCATTTCACAGACACACTTCTCACGTTAAGAGACTTAAGTCCCATCCCCACAGGCACAGAGCAGGACAGGAAGCCCAGCTTCATCAGCACGGTGGAATTTGGGACTGCGACTTGGAATTAAAGAGGACAATGACCCATGATAGAAGTGATGGCATCCTCACACAGCTGCAGCTGACTGCAGTGACTAAACATGGATAGAGTCTGTCTGCATTCATGTCTTTCTCTGAGGGGTGACCCCTGAGAATGAATTCATCCATTAATGAAGTGAAAACACAAACCAGCTTTAGTTCTGGTTATTCTGACTCTGATCTGTTGGATCTAAACACAAGCATCCAGGACTGACAGCTTCAGCAGGAGGATTATTTAGCAGGTTTTTTGTGCAGATTTAAGCTCGTTAATAGAAATATCAATGTTCCCCAGCAGGAGCCCACCAGCCCACAGAGCCTGCAGTAGTCTGAGGGAAGCTGTAATGAATGCAGCTCTGATTGCCAAGCCGCCTGCGGCTCAGGTAGTTAGGCTTTTATTTCTGGACGCGTTGCGCGTTCTGAACCACTTACTCTTGAGCGCAGTGATCAGCATATTTCCATCCTTGATGAGCTCCTTGATGAATTTATTTGTTCGCTCCAGCTCGAACTCATGGCACTTCAGGCGCTCCCTGAAGTCCGGGCTGTCCACGAACGAGTCGCTGAACTCCAGCGGTGGAAGTCCCATCGTGTCTCGGTCACAGGGTCGGCTTCGTCCGTGGAGCAAAAGTTCCTTCTGCTCTTCTCATCACGCAGCTCCGGTGGGGATGACAACTTCTGGGTTCCCCCCACAGTCCAAACAAAGTTTCCTACTTCGCTTCTTCCTCACTTCCGCTTTGGATTTCTCCCCCCAAAGTTTCAGCAACTTTTCTCAACAAATAGGGGTCTTCTGACTCCTGCTGGTCACTTCACTGGCTTCAGCATCACCTCCTTTGTATGATTTAAACTTATTTATTTATTTAATTATTTATTTGTTTATTTATTTAGAGACTCTTTTCTAATTTAAAAGCCCTTTTTCCCCCTCAGGTCCAAAATTAATAACGTTTTATGCCAGTTTTCTTAAAACTTCACTGCTTTGAGACCAAATATAAGCTGGATTTATATGGAGGTAAATTTGTGTTTTTATTATTCAAACAAAAAGCATCTTCAAAAAAAATTCAATCAAAAATATTTTTTTTCAACCAAACAAAAAATAAATTGTATCAAAAAATATATATATTTTCAACCAAAAATAATATTTCAACCAAACTAAAAAAGCTATTTCAATAATAATAATTAAAAAAAACGATCAAAACGTTTTTTTGTAAAACAGAAATTTTTGGTTGAATCTCAAAGTTTTGGTTGACTTTCTAAGTTTTTGGTTGACTAAGTCGAACCGGATACCTTCCGATCACAAGCTTGGCTTCTCTACTCCCTACAACACTACCTTAGTTTGTGATCTCTGAGTTCAAATCTTTTTTTAGTTCAACCAAAAACTTAGAAAGTCAACCAAAAACTTAGAAAGCCAACCAAAAGTTCGAGATTCAACCAAAAGTTTCTGTTTTGCAAAAAATGTTTTGATAGTTTTTTTATTTTTTGATGGAAATAGCTTTTTTAGTTTGGTTGAAATAATTTTTTTGGTTGAAAATGTAATTTTTTTGATTGAATTTATTTTTTGTTTGGTTGAAAAAAATATTTTTGATTGAAATTTTTGATTGAAGATGCTTTTTGTTTGATTGAATAATAAAAACACAAATTTACCTCAATAGATTTAACCAAATCAACAGTCTTGTATAAAATACCTCAAAGTGATACTTGACAATTACACGTATCTTACCATAAATTACTTCGGTAAAAGGTAAAATGTTCTTTATTAATATCACTTGAGTATAAGTATTTGACATTTACTATATCAAAAGTAAGTTTCTGACATAGCCTAAGTTCCTGCTTAGATATTAAAAATAAAAGTATTGATTAAAAATAAGCAGTTAGAATTACCAAAGTGATATTTATTGGGAGGTGAGCTCTATAAGCCGTGGTGATTTTTATGTTGGAATAAAATATTAATGTTAAAAATTTCAGGAAACACTAGACTTCCTGTTTCAGCTGTATATCTCTGCCTTGCTCATCTACTAGCCTACATATTTTTAGTTAAACCCTGTTGGAACGTGACATGATTTGTGTCATGATGGTGTGTTGGATCATACAAATATGGGGTCAGAAAATATATATCTATACTTCACATCCAAGCAGTCAAAGTTAAATTCACTGTATTTGTGATAGGTTTGTTTTTCAACATAACTAACCAGAATGAAATGGGAGTCTGGATTTAATTTCTTTTAAATATAAGGAGTAGAATGCAGAGATAATTATTTTAAAATGTAAGGAGTGGAAGTATATAGTTGGCTGAAAATAATTACTTCAATAAAGTATAAATAACCAAAATGTATACTTAAGTAAAGTAACAAATTGCACTGCCCGACCTTTTTATTTATTTATTTTTTTGTCTAGGCAGTGTATTTTTATTTTGTTACTTCACAACTCTGCATATAAAGCATAAAGTTTAAGTAGTATTTTACACGTTTCTTTGAGGTTTTTCCTACATTTCACCTTGCAACCCAACTACGCAGCAACCTGAGTCAGTGAAGCAAGTTTAGGGACCCTGAAGCTGATAATAACCCTGGGCCTCTGGCTCCACCTGAGGAATCATCAGCATCTGCTTTCTCACACGTTTGCATTTACAGCGATGAAATCTGATGTCTGCTAATGAAACTGAGCAGAAACCCCTGAGTGAGTGATTCAGCCAGACGAGGAACACTCATCGTGTTCACCAATAAAACCGTATTAAATTTGCATGTGACAAAGCGGGACGGGGAGCCCAGCTTGCCTTGGGATGTGTGATTATTGCTGTTGTAATTTTGCAGTTCCTTGTGTTATGCACTTGATGGGATGTGAACATGGAGGGGAAAAAAATTAATTGCTCAATTGGCCAAAAGAAATGACAACTAAAAATGTGGGCATATTCTGCCTAAAATGGAAAAAAATATCTTTTAGAACACTATCTTGCAAATACAATGGAATTGTGGAGAAGCTCGCTGGAAAAAAAATTGCTGATTAAAATCTAAAATTGCTGCCTGTAGAGTGTTGGAGAGAATTTGGTTTAATTAAGATGATACGCTGAAGAGAGAAAACCGGGTCCCCCTGCTCCTCTCAAAAACAAGACATTGCCACATTAATGGTTGTAATGCAAATAAGTGTTCTGGGAAGAACTGCATGTATTTCTGTGTGACTGAACCTACAGAGACCAGCCCCAATCTATACAGAGACTAACTGCCTCGCAGCACACACACAGATGACACACACCCACAAAGCCACACAGGCTTTTCACACACACGCACTAAGAGAGTGAGACGTGTTTCACAAACCATACGAGTGGGGGGGAAGAAATTAGACGTGCAACTCACATCTTCCCACGTCCTCACTCCTGCTCTCACTGCATTAAACAGGGCCACTTTGGCCTCGCGCGGTGAGGAATCAGCAGCTCAAGAAGAAACAGAAAAGAAATGAGACTTGGATTTCACACGAGGTATCAATAATCCATGCAGAATGGGCATCGATTAGCTCTGCGCTGAGTTATGCACAAGTCATGCAGCTTCTGATTCGATTTCCTCTGCAAGCCCTGCGTTACGCAGAGGGGCAGGCAGTGTTGTGTGAAGATGTCTGGTCCCCTTGTGGAGGAGGCACTGGTGGGGTTGGGGGTAGTCCCTAACATGCCCCCGTCAGCTCCAGCTCGCATGCCATCATTTTGCAGAAGCAGCCCTCGGGGGTGCAGTTTGTTACACTGACACACTGAGCAGAGGAATGTGATACATTAGTGGAAACCCTGTTGCTTTGAGTTAATTGCTGCATTCGCTCTGCAGCACTGAACTGCGTTATTGGGTGAAAGATAATGGTTTGAATGGAATGTGGGGGGAACAAGTTTTAGCTCCTGGTTTTTTCATCTGAAACTATGGAGATAATAAAGTTTATGGTTTTACGTGTATAGATGTCGGGTCTTGTAGGAGCCTAAACCTCCACCTGAAAAATATATAAAGCACTGGCAGCGCATGTTGTCATCTGAAAATGGACATAAAATATATGGAGTTAATTTGCAAATGTGACCAAGACACCTCAGTCTGCCTAACAGTGGTGGTCAGAGGGTCCAGTGCCCTGCTTATGTCAGTGTGCCCCAGGGAAGCTGTGGCTACAATGTAGCTTACCACCCATCAGTGTTTGAATGGTGAACAAAATGTGAAGCATTTTAGAGTCCATACAGCCTGGCCCTTGCCTTCCTATATAGCTCCGCTCAATTCTAGATTCCCCTCACTGCTCTGTCAGGGATTTCTCCTGTAGACATGGATTTCTCCGGTAGAATTTCAACCGGGCCAATCAGCGGCCAGCAAAAAATCACTTTTCATTAGCTGAGGTCCCAGACCCTCTGTATGAAGCAAAGCGTAGGACAAGGAGCTGGTTTTTACCAAGTCCATAGGGACTTGGTAAACCACTATACTGTATAAGTTCAGGACATTTACCAGCATTCCTGGTTTTTAGACCACATTTATAAAACTATATAAAAATAGTGTTAGAAATTAAACACAAGCAGCATTAAATCTGTTCTAACTGAAGTTTGCATTTTGACCGAAGATGTTTTCCCGTTGTTCAAAACTGAAGCCAAAATGTAAGTTTTTGAGAATGCCATATCTACAAAGTAGTCTACTTGAAAAAAATAAAAATAAAAAAAAACAACCAAGTAAAAGTAAAAAATACCTAAACTGAAAATAACTTTGGTAAAAATAAATCTCACTGATAAGAAAAATACTTGAGTAAAAGTCATGAAACTGTTTACAAAAATCAGAAAAGTAAAAGTTCTTTTATATACAGTACTCTCTAAAAATAATCTGTTGAATTTACTTAACCAAACTGGTTCCACTAAACCAAGTAGAATTAACTGAGTAATATAAATATTTTTGCTTCATTTTTACTCTACTAGGTTTAGTGGAACCAGCTGACATGACTTGGTTGAGTAAATCCAACACTTCACTTTTTATAGAGCACATAAACAAATCCTTTCATGATGAGTTTGGATGGATTTGATTTTGTAACAAGTAACTAGGTGTTAAATTTTAAAGTAAAGTAGTAAATGTATAATTTTTAGGTTTTAAATGTAACAAAATAAAAGTAAAAGGAACAATTGAAAAAAATACTTGGTAAAATTACAAATTACTTAAGTACTGTAATGAAGTAAATGAACTTAGTTATATAAACCTCAGTTGAATCCAGAGACTGCAGAATAAGAATATTCTGTATATTTGAGTCAGGCTTGAGTCCAATTTATTTACATAAATAGGCGGGACTTAAAAAAAAATACACTGCAGCTATAGCATTCCTTCAACTTCTTTCTTTCTACTTACATTATATCTTGATTTATACATGTCCTCTGGTATTAATTAGGGGCTACTGAAGCACCATCTGCACCCCTGCTCACAGCCTCAGACTCAATAAAATGTGGCAACTATTTATCATATTTATGAAAGATTTTTATGAATGATATGAATCTATTTATGAAAGAATGATAAGATTTAAGTAACAACAGCCACGATAAAAATGCAGCATAAAAGAAAGACAAGCTCAGATAACTAGACTTGTTTTGATGGTAATTACCTTTCAGCGGTCTGAGCTGATTTTCCTAATTAACAACTGACATAACCATGCACAATCAGGTATTAAGGTAATTGCACAATTTCCGGGTGGCACTCAGCTTAGTTCCAGAGGAGGGCTTTTGAGAACCAGATCTGTCACTGTTTTTCTAGCTGATGATTAATGACCCCAA